AGAACTGCTCCTGTCTGTGCTCCTGTCCTCCGAAGATGCCAGTCACAGATGCTGGCGAAATGTTAGTAACTAAAACTTCCAGAACACGGCCACACATCCCAGAAGACCCACATCAGCCAATGACTCTGGGAAATTGGAAGATGGATTTTAACATGATACATTAGCAAGTACAGGAACTTTCTAGTTGCAGCCTAAGAGTTTTACAGTGAAAACAGTGAAGAGACTTATAGCACCTTAAGGGTAGCCTAATTTATTATTGCATAAGCTTTCATGGATCATGATTCACTTCATGAGGTGCAGGAATGCAGTCCCGAGAAAGGAATATTATACATCCCCAAGCTATTTCTAGACAGGAGGAGAGAAAAGAAAGGAATCATAAGGAGCGGGTAGGGTTCTTGGTAGGTGAAACACTCATTCTTGCACTTACAAGCTGATTATCAAATGTGATACAATAAGAACTGACTGCTTTATCAATTAATGTTAATGTAATTGCTGTAATTAATATAAGCCATGTTGAGTAAAGTAGCAGAAAAAGAGCAAGGCAGAATATTCTTATACATAAAATACCTAACATAGGAAATGCTCATCAACATTCATAGGCTGGTAAAGTATGGGTTGTAGTAAAGTGACAAACATATATGCAGCTCCTTCTCTTCCAATGATAGCTTTCAGAAGCTGTACACAATAACAACATGAGACATCCATACTGTATCATATTTTTCAGGATCACGGATGAAGCGGCATCTTGACTTAAATAAGAGCAAAGTAAATGTTCTTTATTGCTCATCTAGATACAGGTTTTTAATATTTGTAAAATATTTGTTTTGCCTCTTCAATAGGTCAGGTAGACATGATTGTGGCTGGAGCTGGCACAGGAGGAACAATCACTGGTATTGCCCGAAAAATCAAGGAGAAATGCCCTGGATGTAAAGTAAGTCCCAAACAAGAGCAATGTGTTCACTGCTTAAGTTACTAATAGGGGTGTCTGTGTGTGTATGTATATACACACACATATATATGCCCTTGTAGATTATACCTTATAGGCACTATAACAAACTCTGTAGGTGATCCCAAAGGATCTAGGTCTATTTCCTTCTCTATGCAAACTACACAGGGGACAAATAAAAAGTTTTATCCAGCTGATTACAAAGATGACTTACAGTCATTCCTGTGATGATTGAAATCACATTTATTGAAATGGCTACTCTTCATAAACTTGATTGTTCTTGAATTCATTTGCTACGTTTAGCTGTAGAAGTGTGTGCCTCAGGAAAATTTGGACTGCTTCTATGCTCAGATCATTCCTGTAATGACTACACTTAGTCTTCAAACACAAAAAGAAATACTGTGACATGTTACCACATGGAATAACTTAATAGCTGTGATGGAATGGAATTATGAAGGCCAGGCTCAGGGAGATAAACATTTTCTTTGCCCGCCGGAGGAGGGTGGGAGCTACAAGAGGATGAGCCTGGCACCTCCCT